GGCACGCACCACCATGCCCAGCTAATTTTTGTATTTTTAGTAGAGACGGGGTTTCACCATGTTGACCAGGATGGTCTCGATCTCTTGACCTCGTGATCCACCCGCCTCGGCCTCCCAAAGTGCTGGGATTACAGGCTTGAGCCACCGCCCCTTGTCTTTCAAAAGGGGTTAATACTTCCTCTGTAATGTTAATGTGTGGATTATAGATAATGAGTGTAAACTATGGTGTCTGACAGGTAGAAGGCATTTGATAAATATCAGTGAATAAATTGCTGGGCTCAGTGGCTCACATCTATAATTCTGGCACTTTAGGAGGCCAAAGCAGGAGGACTGCTGGAGGCCAGGAGTTTGAAACCAGCCTGGTCAACATAGTGAGACTGTGTCTCTACAAAACATTTTTAAAAATTTAAAAAGGAGAATAATAAGTCCACATTTCAATGAAAACACTGTTAAAGGTATAAATAATAAGCAGGGCAGCATTCCGTTTACCAATAGACAACTATGAGGAACTTGAGTGATTTTTAATCATATTCATTTAGGGGAGGTATCTTTTAAAAAGCATAGATTTTTTTGGCCGGGCGTGGTGGCTCATGCCTGTAATCCAAGCACTTTGGAGGCCAAGGTGGGCGGATCACCTGAGGTCGGGAGTTCAAGACCAGCCTGACCAACATAGTGAAACCCCGTCTTAAAAAAAAAAAAAAAAAAAAAAAAAAGTTTTTTTTTTCTTTTTTTTTGAGACAGAGTCTTGCTCTATCATTCAAGCAATTCTCATGCGTCAGCCTCCTGAGTAGTTGGGACCACAGGCATGACCAACCATGGTCGGCTCATTTTTTTATATTTTTAGTAGAGATGGGGTTTCACCATCTTGACAAGCCTGGTCTTGAACTCTTGACCTCAAGTGATCCACCTGCATCGGCCTCCCAAAATGCTGGGATTACAGGCATGAGCCACTGCACCCAGCAAAAAAAGATAGATGTTAAGATCACACATTACCCTATTATATAAAGTCAAATTTACTACAGTAGATGTGGAATTTTTTAAAATAATGTTTTCAAAAACTGACAAAAAAATGTTCTGCAACAGAACACCCTATTTTGAAACTGTGTCTAAGGAGTATCACAGTAATCTTTTTAAAAACAGCCTAAACCATTCTCAGAGAGAGGAGTAAAAAACTTAAACATCTTTAGCAACCTATATAAATTCCATGCTTACTGATAAGAAAAATCCAATTTTACATTGTGAAATCTAAGAAAACCTACAACTGAACGAACAGATTCCTGGCTGAACACAGTGGCTCATGCCTGTAATCCCAGCACTTTGGGAGGCTGAGGTGGGTAGATCACTTGAACCCAGAAGTTCAAGGCCAGCCTGAACAACATGGCGAAACCCCATCTCTATAAAAAATGCAAAAATTAATTAGGTATGGTGACACATGCCTGTAGTCCCAGTTGAGGAGGCTTAGGTAGGAGGATCACCTGAGCCCGGGAAGGTCATAAGGCTGTACTGAGCCATGATTGTGTCATTACACTCCAGCCTTGGCAACAGAGTGAGACCCTGTTTCAAAAAAAAATTTATATATATATATATATAAATTTTTTTTTTTAAAAAAGAAAGAACAGATTCCTGATTTTATGTAAGTATATAGTTAATTCAATGTTTGTTGAGGACATTTTGACAGACAATGCTGGCTGTGACGGAAAGAAAAATTAAGAAGTTTCTGCATTCAAGATGCTTACAGTGTTATGGCAAAGACTGGCCTATAAACAAGGACAACACATGTCAGGCACACAGGCTCACTCCTATAATCTTAGCATTTTGGGAGGCCAAGGTGGGAGGATCACATGACCCCAGGAAGTCGAGGCTGCAGTGAGTCATTATAGTGCCACTGTACAGCATGCAGCCTGTGCAAGAGGCCCTGTCTCAAAATAAATACATACATACCTACAGTGACAATCTGATGTGCTGAATTCATTTCAATTCACATGGAGGCCCCAAGAAAACTTAGCCAAGGGAGAAAGAAGATACAGTTTGAGGTAAGATTTGAAGAGTAGGAATCTTCAGGTGAATGAAAGGGTGGGGTAAGAGAGAAGGAAGATATTCTCACTTAAGTCCTGTACATGCATGAAAAAGGTGAACGCACTGCCAAGAGAGTACAGAAAGATCAAGGAAGGCATGTAATTTATTGCCTTAATATAAAATTCACATAACATAAAATTCACCATATTGACTAAAGTTTACAACTCAGTGCTGATTTCTTTAAAAAAAAATTAATCTGCCGGGCGCGGTGGCTCAAGCCTGTAATCCCAGCACTTTGGGAGGCCGAGGAGGGTGGATCACGAGGTCAAGAGATCGAGACCATCCTGGTCAACATGGTGAAACCCCGTCTCTACTAAAAATACAAAAAATTAGCTGGGCATGGTGGCGCGTGCCTGTAATCCCGGCTACTTAGGAGGCTGAGGCAGGAGAATTGCCTGAACCCAGGAGGCGGAGGTTGCGGTGAGCCGAGATCGCGCCATTGCACTCCAGCCTGGGTAACAAGAGCAAAACTCCGTCTCAAAAAAAAAAAAAAAAAAAAACGGCATTAATCTATTTTTGGCTAGGCCCTTCTGCTTCCAGTTCAGTGAGAGAGTCAATGAATAAATATAATTTCACTAGTAGAAATGCTAAGTTTTAAAAAGCCTTCACTTTTTTTTTTTTTTTTTGGTTGAGACAAGAGTCTTGCCCTGTTGCCCAGGATGGAGTGCAATGACGCGATCTCTCACTGCAGCCTCCACCTCCCAGGTTCAAGCATTCTCCTGCTTGAGGCTCCAGAGTAGCTGGGATTAGAGGTGCGCGCCACCATGCCCAGCTAATGTTTTGTATCTTTAGTAGAGATGGGGTTTCACCATGTTGACCAGGCTGGTCTCGATCTCCTTACCTTGTAATGCGCCCACCTTGGCCTCTCCAAGTGCTGGGATTACAGGCACCCAGCCGAAAGCCTTCACTTTTTAATCAAAAAGAGTAAGTGGAGCAGGCACAGTGGCTCGCACTATAATCCCAACACTTTGGGAGGCCAAGGCAGAAGCATCACTTGAGCCCAGGAGTTCGAGACTAGCCTGGCAACACAGAGAGACTCCGTCTCCACAAAAAAAATTAAAAAGTAGCTGGGGATGTTGTGGCACATGCCTGTAGTCCCAGATATTCGGGAGGTGGAGGTGGAGGTGGGAGGATCATTAGAGCCCAAGAAGTCGAGGCTGCAGTGAGCTATGATCCTGCCACTGAACTCTAGCCTGGGCAACACAGCAAGACCCTGTATTTGGAAAAAAAAAAAAAAAAAAAAAAGAAGAAGCAGTCTTTGTAGAAATTCAGGTATTACCAGCAATACCAGAATATAAGGTAGAAAGTGAAAACGTTCCCCTCATCAAGAATCCCAACTGCCCAGAGATAGCCACTGTTAAGGGATTGTCATGTATCCTTACATACACATATACTTATATATAAGGGATGCTGTTGTTTTTAACATAAAAAGCTTCTAAGACATAAAATTATGCATTGCTCTGCATCTTGCTTTCCACATACCAACAGCTTAGAATCCTCCCAAAGAAGGACATCAATTTCTAGTTTCAGTGTCTGAGCCTGCTCACTTCATGGTACTTTTGACAACTATATGTTTTTATTGTACTATTTGCCAATCTAATAAGTAACTCACAGTTATGTTTAATTTCCTAGCTTAGTTTTTCTTCTTTTTTTTTTTTTTTTTTTTTTTTTTGAGAAGGAGTTTGGCTTTTTTTGCCCGGGCTGGAGTGCAATGGCGCGATCTCGGCTCACCCCAACCTCCGCCTCCTGGGTTCAGGCAATTCTCCTGCCTCAGCCTCCCGAGTAGCTGGGACTACAGGCGTGCGCCACCATGCCCAGCTAATTTTTGTATTTTTAGTAGAGACGGGGTTTCACCATGTTGACCAGGATGGTCTCGATCTCTTGACCTCGTGATCCACCCGTCTCGGCCTCCCAAAGTGCTGGGATTACAAGCGTGAGCCACCGAGTTTTTCTTCTTATGGAATAGTACAAATACTTAGGAACATAGAGAAGATAACTTATTTCTTCCTTAATTCAGCTCAAGTAGACAAGTGTCTGAAGTGCTTAACAGGTATTTGTAAAGTATGCGTACAGTTTTTCTGTATTAGAGGATGCACAGAATGTACAGGAAATAGCATTAGAATGACTGACGTGGGGTTTAAGTCCTTGTTAAATTTTCTAAATTTAAGACTATTTTTCTTGTCTATAAAATAAGAGGGTATAAATAATTGCTAGTAGTCTTAAAGTTCTAGGAATATATGACTCCAAATCACAAAGGTTTGAAAACACAATGTTAAACTTCCTCTATTTGGATTGCTTAATGGTGAGAAGAGAATATTGTATCTCCTCCACTTCCCAAAGCCTATAAATTCCATAAGATCTTAGTTTTGTTCATTTATGTATACCAAGCACCTAGACATTGCCTAGCATGTTTATATTTATGGAATGATTAAAAATGGTTAGGAACTTCCAATTTGGTAAATTGCTTTGAAACAATTGTATTCTTGGCATAATTTCACTCTTTGGTCTCACTCCTGAAATGAAAATGCTACAAAATAGAGAACTCTTGTACACCATTCAGGGAGTTACATCTGCCAACAGTAGAAAGACTCTCAATCTACTCCCGGGAGCTAAAGTCGAACTCCCTCCCCATCCCCAACACCTGATGGGGCCCACACTCAAAAGTATCAAAACTCATAGGTATGCACGTTCACAAGCCTATAGAAGCCGAGCTGTCACCTACCCTACCCCACACTCAGACTCTACATCGCCGGAAGATGAAGAGTTACAGTTCCTTCTCTCACGAATTGCAACTCCGAAAACCGCGGAATTGAAGCCACCAAAGGCAAAGAAGCGGCAGGGAAAGGGGGTGGGAAGAGGCGAACAGACTCTCTCAAGCCCCAGTCATTCGGAAAAGCCCGTGTTGCTGGAAACCGCGTCCTCACCTCCTTCTTTCTTTGGGCAGAGGCCGAGGGAACGTCGTAAACTATGAACAGCGCCACTGCCATTGTCGCAGAAACACACCAAAACGACCAACGCGCTGCCATGTTCGCTTCTCTCCCTTGTATAAGCGAAACTTTGCTCTGGCTGGGTCTGAGGGTGGGGCGTGAGAACAGGCAAATCGGCCCCTTGCCTTTCCTCATTGGTTTAGGTCAGCCCTGCCGGGCGGCCCACACACAGTACGTCACAGCGCGCTAGCGCTACACGCCCGCTAAAAGAAGGTTCATTTCTAATTGGCCCCCGTCAGCCAATAGAAAAAGGATAATCTGGAGGTTTTTCAGTGGTCCGCTAAAGATAATGACCCGCCCCTTTCTCGATACGTAAGCATCAAGCGCTCGGCCGCTTTCAAATCACGCATGCGCAGTTGTGAAATGTTGCGGTGTTTTCAGAATCCAAAATGGCTTAAAGTTGCTAGAGCGGAATCTTTCACGCAAAGACTCATTTAGAAGTCCTTGAAATTCGCCTCTTTCATGTAATATTCTAGAAAAATGGGACCTAGCCTTGTGAGGGTTAAGAGCTATCTAGTCCATCATCTTGCCTCCAAAGTACTTCAAAATGAAAAAAGTAGGAAAGGAAAAATATACTTAATATAACGGAGGGAGATTTTTAAAGGTAAACATGAACAAGAGCTTGTTGAATACCTATTGTGTCCTAGAAACTGCCAGGAGCGCTGAAAAAAGAACATTAAATATCATTTTTAGAAATTGTTTCTGGCTTTTTTTTTTTTTTGAGACGAAAATTCGCTCTTGTCGCCCAGGCTGGAATGCATTAACGCGATCTCGGCTCACTGCAACCTCCACCTCCCGGTTTCAAGCGATTCTCCTGCCTTAGCCTTCTGAGGAGTTGGGATTACAGGCGCCAGCCACCACGCAGGCTAATTTTTTGTATTTTTAGTAGAGACGGGGTTTCGCCATGGTGGGCAGGCTGGTCTCGAACTCCTGACCTACGGTGATCCGCCCACCTCGGCCTCCCAAAGTGTTGGGATTACAGGCGTGAGCCACCGCGCCCTGCCGGCTTTTTTTTTTTTTCTTCCAGTTAAACTCCTTGACTTACTATTTAAAGCACCAACAAGGACTTGAATTGCTGGTGATAGCAAATGCCTTCTTTTTATTTATTATTTTGTTTGGAGGATGGGTGCAAAAGTAAGGTTGTAAAGAAGCACTTTCCCTCTTTTTAAAGTTTTTGTGATACTTAGTTTTCATTAAATATCCAATTCTCTCATCTAAAAATAGTGGAAATCCTACATAGATGAAGAAGCTTCCATTTATTTGGACCATTCTGTTTTACCTTAGTGGGTTGTTAAACTGGGATAATTTTGAACTAGAGAATAATTTCTCAAGAAGAAAAACAACAAGATAAAATCAATTTGCCTACAATTTGGATTTATTTTGATGGTGTGGAAAATATTTTATGACTATTATTTGAGGCCCTACTGGAAAAAAAAAGAAAAAACACCGGAAAATAATTTCAGTATGTTGGAGAGACAAGGAGATGGGATGGAAAGAAAAATAGCCGGCTCTGAAGTGAAGAGATGTAAAATAGAGATATGAAAATATTTAAGTCATTTATGGAAACATATTAAGAAAATGCAGGTGGGGTGCGGTGGCTCATGCCTGTAATCCCAGTACTTGGAGAGGTTAAGGTGGGTGGGTGGGTGGATCACCTGAGGTCAGGAGTTCAAGACCAGCCTGACCAACATGGCCAAACCCCGTCTCTACAAAAAATATAAACATTAGCTGGGCGTGGTGGCTCAGGCCTGTAATCCCAGCTACTTGGGAGGCTGAGGCAGGAGAATCGCTTGAACCCTGGGGGCAGAAGTTGCAGTGAGGTGAGATTGTGTCATTGCACTCTAGCCTGGGCAACAAGAGCAAAACTCCGTCCGGAGAAAGAGAGAGAGAAAGAAAGAAAATGCACAATAAAAGTACACTGAGACATGCTGTGTGATTCAATTTATATGATATATGACATTCTGGAAAAGGCAAACTCATTGGTACAGAGAACAGATTAGTGTCTGCCAGGGGTTACAGGTAGGAAAAGGGGTTGATTATAAAGAGGTCAGGCCGGGCGCGGTGGCTCAAGCCTGTAATCCCAGCACTTTGGGAGGCCGAGGCGGGTGGATCATGAGGTCAAGAGATTGAGACCATCCTGGTCGACATGGTGAAACCCCATCTCTACTAAAAATACAAAAAACTAACTGGGCATGGTGGCACGTGCCTGTAATCCCAGCTACTCAGGAGGCTGAGGCAGGAGAATTGCCTGAACCCAGGAGGCGGAGGTTGCGGTGAGCCGACATCGCGCCATTGCACTCCAGCCTGGGCAACAAGAGCGAAACTCCATCTCAAAAAAAAAAAATAAATAAATAAAAATAAAAATAAAGAGGTCAAATAAGGGTATTTTTATGATGTTGGAGCTATTTTGTCTTTAATTGTGGTGGTAGTGACACAATTTTATGCATTTGTCAAAAATGCGTAGAACTGTACACCAAGAAGAGTGAATTTTACTATGTGTATGTTTTAAAAATAAAAATTAAAAGTTTAAAAGAGATATCTTACCTATCAGATTGGCAAAAATCCAAAAGTTTGACACTACGTGCTATTAGCAAGGCTTTGGGGAGACAGGCACCCTTTATATTAATACATTGCTGGCAGGAAGGCAAAATGTTACAACATCTATGGAGGGTAATTTGGCAATATCTAACTAAACTACACATGTATTTATCCTTTAATACAGCAATCCCACATCTAGTAACCTACCTTGGAGAGATACTTCCAACAATGTAAAAATATATGTGCACAAAGTTATGCATTTCATCATTATTGAAATTGGAATATTCTTGAAAGTACCTAAATGTTCAAACATAGGAGATTGATTGAATATACTATAGCACATATACACCACAGATTTTGCAGCTGTAAAAAAGGAATGAGGAAGACTTATGTAAAATGATAATGGATTTTATGCTACATTTGTGTGAAATAGAAAGAGAAATAAGAAAACATACAGGTATTTGCCTATTTTTGCAAAAGGAAATACACGAAAGATAAACCAGAAATTAATGAAATTATTTACCTACAGGAATTGGTGGAAATGGAATGCAACAGTTAGGGGAGGGAATGACTTAGGTACACCAGTCTGTTTAGTTTTGACTTTTGGAATAATGTTAATATTTTAAATAGTCAACATGTACAATCAAATCATTTAGTTTTACAAGATGAAAAAGTCCTAGAGATGGATAATGGTGATAGTTGCACAACAATGTGAATATCACTAATGCCACCAAACTGTATATATTTTATTTATTTGTTTGTTTGTTTTGAGACGAAGTTTTGCTCTTGTTGCCCAGGCTGGAGTGCAATGGTGTGATCTCAGCTCAATGCAACCTCCACCTCCCGGGTTCAAGAGATTGTCCTCCCTCAGCCTTCCGAGTAGTTGGGATTACAGGCATGTGCCACCACATCTGGCTAATTTTTTGTATTTTTAGTAGAGACGGGTTTTCGCCATGTTGGTCAGGCTGGTCTCAAACTCCCGACCTCAGGTGATCTGGCCGCCTTGGGCCTCCCTAAGTGCAGAGATTACAGGTGTGAGCCACCGCACCTGGCCTATTTTATTTATTTTTGTTTTTGTTTCGAGATAGGTCTCAGGCTGGAGTGCAGTGGTGTGATTTTGGCTCATTGCAACCTCTGCCTCTTGAGTTGAAGCAAGTCTTATGCTTCAGTCTCCAGAGTAGCTGGCATTACAAGTGCGTGCCACCATGCCAGGCTAATTATTTTGTATATTAGTAGAGACAGGGTTTTGCCATGTTGACCAGGCTGGTCTTGAACTCCCGGCCTCAAGTGATCCGCCCACCTCAGCCTTCCAAAACGCTGGAATTACAGGCGTGGGCTATCACACCCGGCCCAGAAATGTATATACTTTACAAATGTAAATTTTATGTATATCAACAACAAGTTGTTTGTTGTTGTTTTTTTTTTTTTGAGACAGAGTCTCATTCTGTTGCTCAGGCTGTAGTGCATGGCACGTTCTTGGCTCACTGCAGTCTCAATCTCCAGGGCTTAAGCAACCCTCCCACCTCAGCCTCCCGAGTAGCTGGGACTACAGGTGTGCACCACCATGCTTGGCTAATTTTAATTTTTTTTTTTTTGTAAAAATGAGGTATTGCCATATTGCACAGGCTGGCGCAAGCTTTTTCTTTTCTTTTAAATAAAATCTGTAAGAATGGGAGAAAAACTAAAATTTAATACAAACAGAATAAAAGGAGCCCAACTTTCTTTTTCTTTTTTTTTTTTCTCTTTAAGACGGGGTTTCACCATGTTGGTCAGGCTGTCCTTGAACTCCCAACCTCAGGTGATCTGCCTGCCTTGGCCTCCAAAGTACTTGGATTACAGGCATGAGCCACCATGCCCGGCTAAGGGAACCCAACTTTCAAATAAAAAACACAATCACAATAAGGAAAAAAAAAGAAGTAAATACCTATCAACACACTACTTTATATATTCTTAGTCTAAAGAAAAAAGCAACTGAAAGCAAATCTTGAACTCTACTTTGTAGGTTTGTTTTTGATATGGGTATAGCAATTCTGAAAATATATTGTGTGTAATGTAATATGGAAAAACACTGATGTTGTTGAAGGCCAGAATTCTCACTGTGGAAGAAGGGAGATACAGATATGCAATGAGGGAAATTAAAGAACATTTGGGCATTGAACAGGAATTGGATGTATTAGTATAAACTTATCATTCATAACATATACTCCTAACCGTATTTACTGAAAATACTAGCAGCAATTACATCCCCGACTTGTGCTGGTGCACAAACTTAAGTTACTAATTGCCATCCCCACTAGAATGGATTAAGTTTCTTTAGAGACATACCTGATTCCAGTAGTGAGGCAGGGAAAGTACAACATCTTGAACATCTTCTGTCAGAAAATAAAGATGGTCAAAAAAATGATGGAGACATTTCAAAAAAGACATAGGAGCCAGCTTGAAGAAAATCCTAGTGACCACGTGTGGGACTATTGATCATTAAAATAAATAATGACAGTAATGAATTATAAGTAATCAAATTCATGAATCCATACTGATAATAAATAGAGGAGAAAATAAAATTCTTTCTTACAGAATACCTGCTATCAAACAGAGAAGGAGAAAATCACTGTTTTACAACCTTTTAGGCAAAAATCATCAATGAATATAAAAACTTAGGGGAATGAAACTTTGATGAAGGTCAGG